TTTTGTTTGAACAGCAGGTTCTAAGAAAAATAAACCTTCCAGTTTCCCGTGAAGGTAAGCTGAACTGTGGACACCTCTGTGTGACTAGTTTGAAGTAACGGCATTCCAAAGCGTGAATAAATGTCCTAAAAAGTCATACGCCAAGGACAACATCAATTGCCTGAACCGAATACAGCTCTGGGCTCAATGCTCCCTGCCCATCGTCACATCCGTAATGCCACAATAACTGACAGTATTTCCTAACATACATCTACTGCTGGAAAACTATTAAGTGTAACCGGAAACAATGTCATGACAAGCGGAAGCCCTTGGTTTTTATGAGCCCATTTTCAGTTCCTGGTTCAGTTGTATATACATTCTTTCATCTCTCCAGCTATGAGGAAATTTGAAGGATGAGGTTTTGCAGGATTTTGCCACTGAGTGTGATCTTGTTATTAATTCGATTATTTATTATCAATTTGTGTTCAATAAACATTTGCAAACCGCATATTTTTTGATGTAGTATGGTTATGTACGAAATCCCCGTTAGTACCAACATTTTTATTTTGAAATTGTTTTTTTTTTTTTTTTGGAATTTCCTTTGGGGGGGGGGATTTTTTTTTTTTTTTTTTTTTATTCATTTTTTTAATTTTTTTTTTAAATTTTTTTTGTGACACTTTACGAAACGAAGGTTTGGTACGCGGGCATTGCCGTACTTCATGTCTACTATGTACAAGAACGATTTCAGGCCATAGCGGAAGTGTCGTACGGTCCATGGTTTCATAAAGGCCGCGCGGTCTATATTAAGTAACTTTTGGAAATTTGGGGTTTTTTTTTAATTTTTATTTTTTTTACCTACCTGCCGTCAGCGGTGCCCTTCCCCTGAGTAGTCTGGTTCCAGATTCATCAGGAATATTCAGAATCTTTGGTCTGGGAACCAGACTTCTCAGGCCGGAAGGGCGCCGCTGACGGCAGGTAGGTAAAAAAAATTCCAAAAAAGAAAAACATTTAAAAAAAAAAAAACAAATCGAAAAATACCCAAATTTCAAAAAAAAAATCAAAAAATCAAAAAAACTAAAACCTTTTCAAAAAAAAAAAGTTGGCACTAACGGGCTTTCGTAGGATTGTAATCTGATTCATGATTGTATATAGCTCCACCGCGCCTGGTTTCCATTAGCCCAAAACAAATCAGATTATTCTGACAAATTTAAGGTCAGATAGCCGCCACCGTTAATGACCCAAAAAGGGAAAGTGTCCGAAATACATTTCGTTGAAACTCCGATTATGCTCGCAATAGTTCGAGTATTTCCGGTCATAAATATTTATTATACATATTTATCTACAACAAAATACCTGTCATGTTTGCTACCGATAAAGTTCTTAGCTTATTGCTTGCACATAGATATTTCAATGCCGTGCGTATAATGTTGTATTAATTGTCCGAACAGACGTTGTGCCTTTATATGCACCCAAAAGAGGGCGGGCTTTGCAGACTTGTATGACTCGTGACTTGGACTCGGACTTGAGTCACGATGACAAATGACTCGGACTTGGACTCGGACTCGACCTGGGCGACTCGGGACTCGACCAAAATTATCATAAATGGCTTATTATTTTTCAATAATCACAAATTATTTTGAAGACGATCCGCTCCTGAGCAAGCGATACAGTCTGTGTAGTGGCGATATGATGCGCATCTAACATACACTGCGCATGCGGCCGGTTAGTTTCCGATATATTGATTTGGGAAATCAACGTATCGAAACATGTACCCCAGCATCCACACTTGATATTGCGTAAATGCAAGCTTGATGGTGTTCGGTACCAGATTATCCTCTCCAGACACTGTTGTCTTGCCTGTACATGTATTACCAGTTCATTAACTTACGGAAAAGCTGTGAAAAATGGAAACATTTATTCTTTGAAGTTTTAGCAGTGCCTCCAAATCGGACTCGGATTCGACATTTGTGACTCGTGACTCGGACTCGACCTGCATGACTCGGGACTCGGACTTGGGAAAGGTGACTCGGACTCGGATTCCATGTTTTTTTTTACTCGAATACAAGTCTGGGACTCTGTACGTCATGTTTTAGTTTTTGAGTGTGACGGTTACTGTCGCTGGAATGCTGCGATCCCACCTTGAGAATGTACATTTAAAGTCTCCACATATATAACATTCTTGGTAGCTTGTCACTCTAGAAGTAAGTTAATTATTCTAGAACTAAAGTTAATTATTCACGCAAGCCGTACACATCACGTAACACACATTCATGGGTTCTTAGGAACTTTTATTCGTGTTTAATCAATGTGACTGAATGGTCCCTTATAAACCTGGGCGTGTCGTGATCACGCTAGAGGTACTATTCCTCACGAGGGATATGTCATCGCTGCCGCTCTCCAGCCAAATACCACGGTCCGGCCGTCTACATGGTCCAAGTCCAACGGACCCATGATCAAGCCAAGACCAAGACCAAGACCATTACCATGAAGGCCAAGACCATGATGTCCAAGATCCAAGCCTGAGGCCCTACCATGCCGGGGAACCAAGACCTGACTCTCTGATGACCTCAAGCCAACAACACGGATCTCAAGCCGACACACCGCTCCGTCCACGCCCCTCATTACACCCCTCTTTCGTTATGGATACCGGTATCCCCTTAGTTTATTTATAATTCATTGTATTGTATTTTGGGATTTAATGTAGAAGTGTTAATTTTCTTGATTTGAGAGAAGGTAATTTAATTTCGTTCTTTGAAACTTAATCTTCGTCTCAGTCGTCCTTTCTTTATGGGTTCTGTTTTGTCCGTCTCATTTTACATTATTTATATTCAACCCGAAAACCACAACAGCAAATATCTGACTTCGTAACAGTTACGGTTACCCGACCTAATAATTCTCAGAACAGTCTGAATATTTTGTTCTCGGAAACAGAGTACATTGCACTTTGCTGTATCGAAAGATTTAGGGTAGGCTTACCGTATGAAAATAAATTAAATACAAAGATGTTTGGTTTACAACTTTCTGTTTGGAAAACAAATCACGCGGATCGTGTACCGTTTTGCTTTACTAAGGGAATAAATGTGTGCTCCGGAGGTTTTTATCACTCTGTTTAATACCACTTAGAGTCTGGGTGCTGATAATTACCCGAGCTGGAGGCGAGGGTAATTATCAGCACCCAGACTCGAAGTGGTATTAAACAGAGTGATAAATACCGACGGAGTACATATTTATTCCCATTCATAAATACCTTTTCGGTAAAAAAAAATCATATAATTCGTTCAAAACATCCCGATTTTGTTCAACAAATTCACTTTATGCTTTTTGAATCATCCCTCCTGCAAAATAATGGAGTGTTCAGCTGGCGAGTAAGATGAAAACAACCCTTTTATGGAGATTGACGCGCGCGTATCATGTTCTATGCGATGTCGCGCAGAACGCACCTGGCGCGTTGCGTTTTGAATTTAGAACTATAAAATTCTAACTCCCTGGTAGTGTTGCGCATGCCTACGTGAGGATTGTGAACGTTCAACCAATGAAACGATAAGAGGCACTGGATTTTTAGGAGTCCACATTTTATTGTGACACTGGAAAAGTGTTTAAGACCAGCTAGCCATGTCTTTATCATCCGTTTAATACCGGCCACGTGACGGGCTCTCGACCAATAGGAATTTCTAAACTGTCTGAAGTATTTATGAATTTTGCTTAATGTCTTAGAAATACTGAAGTTCGCCGCTTGGCTCCACAATGTGGATACCCGCGCACTTCGCGCTGATTCTTTAGTGATGATAATAAAACATAAACTTTTGGTCATCACATTCTGTGGAAATGGTCACAAGTATCAAGAAACAAGTGACACAAGTATCAAGTGTTAGGTCTCCAGGTTTTTTCATTAAACATCATGACTGTGCGAGAAAAAGTAGAATTACTTAATTGTTAAAAAAAAAAGTTTGATTACTCAGTCCGTGTTTTATTTTCACTCAGAAAAAAAGAGTTAAATTCTTAAACCGCTGTTTTGTAGCAACGCAAAAGTTATTTTGAACGAGACGCCCAACATCGAATGAAATTGCAAACTATACACAAGTTGAAAAAAGTCAGGAGAAAAATAATCCAGTTTGTTGGAGAGCACGAAAGTGCAACTGTAACAAAAGTTACCAATACAAGGCCGTGGGAAGTCGAGAAAGGTACGTGTTTACAAAGTGCTTCGCTACGTTGACGATCTGTTATTTCCTGCTTCCTTCAATTTGATCTTGCTTTTGACTTTTGTTTTAGTATCAGTAGCCTCTTTCGCAATATTCATGTTACTCTTGCCCATACAAATCGCATACCACGCTGATGTACACCACAGCACAGTGTTTTACGCGTGAGAAAGTGCCATTTCGAATGATCGCTGATCGAGTGCGAACGTTACTCTAGCTCTGAGATCGTATTCGACGCAGACGTTTTCATTACTTGTTTTAATCCCATCATCAGGTAAGTACTGATAACTTGAATTTCCTCATTATTTTCCTAAAATCATTCATGGGGTTTTCAAGGCGCGATCCAAGGTTACAACCAATGATTTATGTTCATATCTTTCTCTTCGAAAGAAATGACGTCGGGTCATGTACCTGTGTTGTAGCCCATGTTTACATTGCATTGTGCACTACTTTCGTTTGAAGCAACAAAATTGCTCAAAATCTTCAGTAGGGCGCATAGCAGCAAACATGCGGAAATTTCAGCTCAGTGGTTTATATTATGCATTTTTTGGAAAAGAGGGAAAACATTTAGGGGTCTCGTAAAAAGGTGTGCCCGCCACCTTCACGATTGCTTCTTCCAAAACGATACTATTTCAGGCGGAATAATTTCACAGGGTATCTAGTAGTATTTATCTGAGTTCCCTTTTAGCGGGGATTTTCTCTGTAAATGGGTATAGATCCGTAATTATCAGTGACGCTGTATGAGCCTTAAATGAACTAATCTACCGAAAGCTGAGGTTCAGGAAAATTCTTTTTGGTAATTTATGTTCACAGGCTAGTCTGGCGATGGCATCCCTTGTTGTTAGTTTGTTGATTCTGGTCTGGTTCCTAGAACCATCGACTCTGGGTTCCGCTTCACCGCTAGACCATCAATCCCTATGCGACATTGACGCGTGTGAGTGCGAGTTTGAATACAACCAAACCGCCGTGACTTGCAAGGTGCTCTATGCCGGCTTTGACTTCACCAACTTACGGAGTGTGAGCCAAGTTCCATCAGGTCCATGGACTCTCAAGTTCCAGGCAGCGCTCTATAACGGATTTGGCACGCCGAGCGCGAACGGTTCTTGGTATCCCCTTGCCATACCAAGCACCGTGTTCCCCTCACTGGATGAAGCATCACTTCCCAAGTTCAAGTTGGTCATTGAAGGGGTCAACTTGATATCAGTGGCAAACGGAGCCTTTTCTGGCCTGGCTTTGGACAGTGTTGAGTTCAGTGATGTCCGGATGACCGATTTACCCTTAGATAGTTTCTTGGATCAGAGCGCGTCGTTGAAACGCATCCGCGTCTTCAAAGTGCTCCAGCTCAATGATACTTCAATAAGACCTCCAATGTTTCACTCTTTCCAAGCTCTCGAGGAAATCGAAATCGACCACGTGCAATTGCCTTTCCAGTATCTCCGCAATCACTCTTTCTACAACTTGCCATCCCTGAATTACGTTCGTCTCATCTATTCACCGCTAGCAGCAATATCGCCGAACGCATTCGATGGCGTCCCAAACTTGGCGTTCCTAGAGTTAAGCAATTGCGAACTCCAACGTGTACCCACTGCCCTACTGAGCAAGCTGGACAATTTGACTCTGCTGAATCTCGCCTGGAACAACATCAAAAATGTAGGCCCAGCTGACGTGGAAGCCGTGAAGCAAGCACCGTCACTCTTTACGTTTATCGTGATAGAGAATCCTTTCAGTTGTACATGCGAGCTGCTTGAATTTGTGAATCTGCTTAACGATGATATTATTCTGGATTTCATGGGATGGTATGGCTACCTGTACGATGCCAGCCGTGATGCATTTGGTATCGGTAAGCCGCGGCCTGGATACCACTGCGCTAGCCCCGTACAGACTTTCGGAAAGTCCCTTCTGGATTTCAGTCTTGTGGAATACTTGAAATCCAACTGTGACTTAAGAAGCACAGCACAACCCGTAAATAATGTATCGCCTCCTAGACAGGATTTCGTAGACTCCTCTACAGTCAAACGATTGGCTGTGTCCATCATTTCCGCTCTTGTGGCGTTAGGTATCGTAGTTGTAGCAGTGGCGGTTATATTGCACAGAAAGATAAAGATAAGATGGGTAGGGTTGTTTAGACGATATGAGCGTCAATATGACGTCTTGAATGAAGTCAATCATGAGGAATACACATATGACGCTTACATCTGTCATCATGAAGATATGGACATATTTATCGCTGAAAAGATGATTCCACGCCTGGAGGAGGAGCCTAATAACTTCCGGCTGTGTCTGTCGTTTAGAGATTTCCTCGTTGGTGCAGACAAGCTGGACAACGTGGCGACTGCAATGGCGAATAGCCGCCTAGTGATCGCTCTCCTGGATGCCAATTTCATCGCCAGTGGCCAGTGTATGCTTGAATTGAACATGGCGTGTTCACGCATGCTGGAGGCCGGCGTAGGCGCCTATCCAGCCGCAGCCGAGGCCATCCCTCCACATGCTCCAGCCCAGGGCACGACTAGTCTTCTGCTTGTGTTGCTTGACGCACTTCCAGTAGACGCATTACCAGGCACCGTGGCGGCGCTTCGGGACAAGATCACGTGTCTCGAATGGAAGGAGAATGAAGAAGAGAGATGCTGGCAGCAGTTATCAACCTCGATCCAAGCCGTGCGACCCCAGGCAATTCAGCAAGTGGACATTGCGGAAAACACCTAAACTTTTGACTTGGGCCTAACTGCACAGACTGCACAGGCTGAGAAATTGCCAGGGCAAATAGCAATGAACCAAATATCACAGATATTTGAATAATTTTGTACATATGCAAAAGATAATGTAAGTTCACCCTTGGTGCCGCGCTTCTGGAACCCTCGAATAGAGTAAAGTGTGAAAGTTTGTAGACTTTGCATTTACTTTGTATTAATTGATTCAACCCCAAAACGGTATTTGTAAATTACACAACACTTACTGAACTGATAAATTACTTTATTTGTAAGATATTTGTCGTGCCAAACATGATCTCTCGCTTATGGTGAATACATGCAGGCTTTCAGCAAATAATCACATTCCTAAATCGGTGTACGTAGGGAGAATAGGATTTGGGTGGTCATCGGGTGTCAATTGAAAGTAAGTGAAATAGAAAACTAAAATACCTTGGCACGGTTTTCATTATTGTCTGAATAAAATTGAAAGAGCAAATATGTATCAAACAAAATCTAAACTTATTGATTTATCCTTGGTTCCAATGAGTCGTTTACATGAGTTCACCAATACGCCTAATTTGCTCAGGCCAAACCCACCAAACGTAAAACACATCGGCTTTAGGTGGGTAAATCTTTGCATCGTTCAACATCCTCTTTTTCACGCATTAAAAATTGAAAACAAGAATACGTCGCCGGTTAGGAGACAAAGGGTCAAGATATGAAAGTTCGTAGGTCTCGATGAAATTCGTTTTCTCCGATCTCCAAGTTATTATTTTTTTCCAAACGGAATGTATTTTGTGGTTTGTTAAAACTCGTTCTACCAAAAGCCGGGCCCACACCTTCCCAAATTTACCGCTTTCCCGGATCACCCTACCACTGGTATGTTTTTTCACCGTTGTGGTTAGACCGCAACGTATACCCGCACACATTGCCCGATTCCGTCCTTTACTCGGTCACATGACAATCAGTCACATGATGACCAGTCACATGATGTCAACCATGTGACTTCCTTTTTTAATCGGATTGGCAAACATAAGTATTGCGTCCAGTGAAATCGGAAACAGTGAAATCGGATGAGAAAAGAAATCAAACATGTTTGATTTCATCGGGTCGCCCGGTACGTACACGGTCAGATCGGTACGAATTTTCAGCGCACACCTGTTTACGATTGCCCGATGATCTGGGAAACCGGTAAAATCGGGAAGGTGTGCGTTGGGCTAAAAATGACAAATCAGTCATTGTATTAGTACAACTGTGTTGATAATGGAAGATAATTATAGAGATTCATTTTCATATTGCTCCTGAAAATAAATACAAATAACGACACAAATGAAAATTAAAAATTTAATCATAATAGTCTTTACAAAGTCAAGTAGTGAACAATATATTTGTGTGAAATCTTTCAGAGATATTCCTTATTTGAGTTTAGACTTGACATTGAACGTTTTGCGTGAATAACAAAACTTCTTATCCTTAAATATGAGTAATTAAGTGAATTTGTAAAAGCATCTTTTTCCGCAATACCCTAGCAAAAAACAAATATTTTCCAACCCGAGCTTTTCTGACTGTTTAGCCTCCAGTCTTGCGCATCTTTTGATACCAAAAAATTCTGACCATGGGTTACCGCGCAGCGAAAATTACTGAATTTCCCCATATGTAGTGTATACAAAGCAGAATTACCATTGGTGATATGGATAATTAATTAGCCATAATTCCAAAACCCTTGAACTTTTAGTTCTGAAATTTCTTGGTTATGTTTATATTAAGTTGTTATATGCATGCACAGAGTTTCATAATTGTTCGTCACTCGATGGCCGAGATAAGAGGAGGGGGCCTGAACTTTTGGGTGAAAAGCGTTTTAAAAAGTGAACAATACACACCTGACTTTTTATACAACATGACAATTTGCAAGGTTGAACTATCGTAATTATTGTAACCAACTTACTTGTTCGTTGATATTTGTAGCCTTTTGCTTTTCATTTGACTTATCCTTTTCCAAACTAACTAAATGCAGTATATTGTGACTATGACGGAGTACTCAATTTTTTATTGCATTATTAAACAACACACTGTCGAAATTTACAATATGCAATTACAGACTCAGCATTACCTTTACTATATGATGAAAGCGATATAACATGAACATGAAATAAGCAAGTTATTCTTTCTAATAACCGGTTCTTACAAACATTTACGTCAAGGGTTTTAATTTGGGGAGATTATAATATCCCCATTTTTTTTCGGACGGGCTGTAGGATAAATTCCCAGATTTTGTTTTAACTGAAGTAAAACTCTGTTGAACATGAACTTCACTTCCTCCTACCAATTGTTTTCAACATACGTTCGTGCTCTCGGCACCCGGGTGCCCCCTCCCCAACCAATTGAACATTTTGAATTGAAAAAAATGCGCATATCATTTGCCTTCAGTGCTCCCTCCCCTTGAAAAATATGTGCACCCCACGTGCCCCTCAGAAGTGCAACCCTAGTTACGCCACTGCCTCTTGAACTCGTTGCTCCATTTATATATTTATTTTTCTATTTCAAAATATTTATACAGGATACAAAATATCAGCTCAAAGGCTGTTTTTTTTACATAATGGTCCTGTGATAAGAAATAAAACTAAATATTGAGAGAAAAAATAAAATGGTAAAATAGTAAAATGGACAATTACGATCGACAATTAAGAGGCGACGCAGTGTGTCGTCTATAGTGCACCATATGAAACTGTGTTGATGACTTAAACCAACACGTATAAAGGACAGAATATATTGGACACTAGCCGCGTCTATTGTGTGTTAATGTTGTGGATAACTTGAGGTGAAAATGAAAGTATAATTACACTTGTCTGGGCCCACATGTCATCTTGGCATTGTGCCAAGTTCAACACGTCTCATCCTGTTTGCCAGACATTACTCACATTTGTACAAGGAAATGAAAACTATCTATGTCATCATGATTGTTAAAACAGACATGGTATGTAAGAGCGGTTATTCTATAAGCTCATTAAATCTTAGGGGCACCAACACCCAGTCCCTTAGTTCTTAACATATTGTAAGGCCAATCTGAAACAATTAATTATGAAATTTGCTTTAACCTTCGGTCATGTCCTTTGAAGGAAAATACAATTTTATCATGATTGTCTAATTAACAGAAATCGTATGCAAGAGCGATTCTTATATAAGCCCATGAAAGATTAGGGACACAAACACTCCGTCCTCAACATTTGCAATGCCACTGTAAAACAATTAATTAAAAAAATATGAAATTCGGTTTAACCTTAGTCATTTTCTTTGAAGAAAAAAATAGAATTAAGGATTTTATATTTCCTTGTGTGTGACCCTTGACTGATAATCAATGGAATTATTTTGGATAATACCTACCACAATGCATCATCCATAACTACGGTGTCCCGCAGAACATTGGTCACTTTTAGATTCGTTTAGATGCGTTCATACATTAAAAACAAATAATTGACCATAATATCACTTGATTAAGTTACTTCTAAATATGAGATCAATTCAAACTAATTTATGCCAGTTACTTTGAAACGACAGTTCTTCAAAGATAATGACCACCGCCTATGCTTTCCATTATTAAAGGTAAAGAATGTCTCATTGGATATATCGTTATAAGCTGTAAACCCCTGTGTGTGTGATTTTTGTGTTCAATGTGTAAGGAGAGATAATTGTGAGGTTGAATCAACAGTTCTCCACAATCAATTGTCAGGTTCTGGTATAGAATATAATGTGAATTAAAAGCTTTAATAGCCAGCTGTTCCTCGGCTGATTCGAGATTATTGCGTTGTTAAGATCTCGTCCAGTAATTCCCATTTCCCTAAGTACAAAATCACACCCAATGGTTTTACAAACTTATGTTTTGCTTAAAATACGCGTGGAAGCCTATAACACTGTTGGTTACATTAGCCTGTAAATGCATTTCTTAATACTTTCTTAAGGGGTTTTATACATCACCACGAACATCAGCGTAGAGTGTCTTCTCAGCGCGGTCGTGAATCATCTGGCTGGCCTCTGTTTGCTCCTTGAGATCCAAGTCAGCGTATACGAGCCCCTCAGCATTCTTTTGTTGTCGACCTGTGTCTTCTGGCCGGGCATGCTCACCATCTGTCCCGTCTGCTCCTGCTGTGCCCCGTGCGGAGGTAGGGTTGCAGGTTGCGTAGATGACTGGGCCGCTACTCGCTGCGTCTTTCCCCTCGGTGCTTGGAGATTGGCCGCTCACATGGCTATCGGGGTTAGTTGGAGATGATACCGCGTAGTGTTGTACCACTCCACGTTTAGACTCGTCTACAGCGGCATACAAAACGGCCTGACTCTCTAACGCTGCCTTGGGTGATTCCTGGCTGCTAGAAGGACCGACGTGTATTCTCGGTTCTTGTGGAGGCTCTTCGTATATGGGGGAAATCTCTGGTGTTGTCGTGGAACCGGCGCGTCCGTCTTCTCGAGATAGTCTCTCGGCTGGGCTCGATCCGTCAGCATTCTGTTTACTCTTCTTCAAGTAGCATGAGAGTACGGTTATAGTGAAGATGAGGAAACTCACCCCAAGGGTACCTGCAATGATTACACCCGAGGGAAGACCTTCAGACGCATCATCACCACGGAAATCACTGTCGTTGTTGGTTTCTCCCGTTTTCTTTCCTCTAGTGGTCGTTGGATATGTTCGTGCAGGCGGAGTTGTCGATGGAGATGGAAGAACAACCAAAAATGACTCATTTACAATTCGATTTGATTCTCCTGTTGGAACCTCAGAACATCTTATACGAGAGTTGTTGTGTTCTTCGGCTGACAAGTCAAGAATCTTTAGAGTCCGACCTCGTGGACCAAGCTCATATTTACCCTCATACTTGTTCAAGTTGGAGAGATGTACGGACACTGATGTTTTTTTCACCAGCCACTTATATATTGAAACTTTCGCTTCAGGTGTTGCGTTGAGGTGGCAGGTAAACGTTGCTTCTTGCCCCTCGTGCAAAGTGACTGATGAAGGGGAGACGTAAACAACTG